TGACAGGAATACAATCGGACGTATAGCTGAATACACAGGACTTTCGTTTTTACTGAGTGTGACGCGGAACCCGTGATCACTTTCACTCATGATGGGCACGTGTAGAAGCCTGGTCTCAGGCCGGAGTTGGATGCTTCTGTTCTGCTCGTTCGCTCTTCCTCCCCGTTGCTTCAATTCCCTCTCCTTTTTAAATTTCAATGTATTTAGCAATGTCTCCTGTTGGAGATTTTTTTACTGTAATAAAAATTCGTATATAGAGTCTCGCAACTCACAAATTCTATGGGCACATGGTGTAGTTGGTTATCACGCTCGCTTAGCATATATGAGCCTGTGTGCGAGAGGTGTTGGGTTCAATTCCCAATGTGTCCATATACAATGTTTGTACGTTTTTGCTCTATGTATTTCCATTTTATCCTTCGAATTATACTTCAAACATTCCCTTTATAGCTAAAATAGCAATTCTACGATCATTTCGTTTGTTAATTCAATGATCAAAGTCGAACAGGGCTTCAAAAATGTACACATCTTATTATTTCATGCAGTCCGTAAATTAGACATATGATGTAAAGACCAAGCGCTCATCTTCTTTGCATAATATCGTTTAGAAAGTCAGGTGAGAAAATTGAGTTCAATTCCCAATGTGCACATTGACTTCCTTGTTTATTCAAATATTTCTTTTATTTCGGGTGCATTAAACCACTACATTAAATTTAATATGCGAGATAAAGAATTAAAAACCCACAGTGAACCGGAAGCACGCTCGTCTCTGTTCTGTAGAGATGTTTCAGTCAAGAGAGAGAATCGGATTCAACCGCCAGCATGTCCGGAGCAGAGGTGATACGCAGATCCCCTCATTGCAGTAAGGTTCACTACACGTGCCTGTCATAAGTGACCGCGATTATATAAGCTATGTGACATATGGTATTAGCTCTTGTACTCCGTAATTCTGGCTGCAAAGGTGGTCACACGCAATTCTAATGTCATATATATACTCATTTATATTTCTACTGTACGTTTGTAAAATTTTGTGTCTAATTTCCATCCCAATCTGACGTAGTGAGAGCAAGCAGCAGGACGGTCCGTGATCGCGTAAAACACGTGATCACGATCACTTATGACAGGCACGTGTATACGTAGTTCCCATGATTCTGAGGCCCCTGACCTACGTATTTAATCACTGAATCTGACCTTTCTGTCGCCAAATATACTGACAGGCTCTCCTGGATAGACTACAGCGTGAAGAAGCATCAGTAGATTAGACAAAATACATAAATACCATTCAATGTCCTCCGAAATTCAAAACAAGAACTAATGATACGGCTGTTGAACGTCTACTCATAATCGAGAATGATGGAATCAAGTGTCATTTGAAGGTGATACTCAAGTATTCATGCCTTAATTAATAATCTTGCGGCCTTGAAGTCGTTCGATATTAACTTTCGAGCTTCATCCAGGAAGATGATGATCGCGGTGAATGTTTTCGGCCCTCAATATCCATATGTTTCAACGACTCATTGAAGCCGTCAAATTTATTATCAAGCGCTCTTGTAGCAGAATGTAACGTATCACAATCCAGGTGTACCCTTCAATCTCAGAGCTTCTAAAATGTGTGTTGTAGAAAGTCTCAATTGCGATAATTTACTCCTAAACTCACGCGTAGTTTAATAGGGAGCATTCATGTAAACTAGAGCTTCTATATTCTTTGATATAGTGTTAGAAGGTCGCAACTTTCTTCTAGCAATAGATTCCATCACATGTTCACACCTAGTTTGACAGAAAGCATTCTTCTAAAGCCCATTTTTTGAAGTTCGCAATGGACGGATAGCTTCGCGAGCCTAAGCGTGAATGGGATATCGACATCTCCGTCCTGGATTGTATATAAGAACCGCGGAGTGGCTCAGCATAAACCTTCAATCCATCCCAATTACTCTAGAACTCTCAACGCCAACATGTTATCTGATAAATTCGCTCTTGGGGCCCTCTCCCTTTTCGTTGTCGCCTCGGCGGCACCCGCGGCGTTGGAGTCAAAATCAGCCCCCACGGTTACCGTCTGCATCGACAGTATTAATCCACCCAACGGATGCGTTACTATTCCTTTTTCTTCCGACAGCTGCATCACATTCACAGGTGGCCTTAGCGCCTGGAATAAACAGGTGTCCAACGCTCAGATACCTGAAGGATTTATTTGCACCTTTTTCGAGTATGTTTTTTCCTCTTATATTCTGACACCGATCCTTGGTGTTTAAATCATGCATATAAAATTTAGAACTACCAACTGTGTTGAAAATGGAGATGCTGGGCAAGTTTCTCTGCCTCCAGGCACACAGGACTTCTTTACTGCAGGTTTCAACGATCAGGCGAGCTCGTTCTTATGTTCGGCTTTGTAATTGGTAGGTGAGCATTATTTTTTCGATTGCTACAACTCAAGGTAATCGGAATCTGCAGATACTCCAGATCTTACACGAATATATTCAATAGTTGTGACTATTAATGCACCTTCCCCGCTGAGTAGCATCGTAACCATTCCATGGCACTTCGCACGTGGAATTCACAACATATAAGATAATGGTATGATAGCCCGGTTTACCCTTCCTTTCATGTTACTTATACATTTGATGTGGTCGCTTGATAAATTCTCTCAAAATAGCACCGCTATGTTATACGTTAGAGGCTAAATGAGCAGGATATCGGACTGTATGTTCTTTTACTTGCATATTTTCATTCAAATAAGCAGCGGAAAAACAATGTACCAGCTGTCTTTGGTACATTCTCACTTCTTGGTACGCTGACACCTAATTTATGTAAATCTTACTCAATTCATTATATATTTGAGATTCGTGTATGCACTGTCGTAACAATTGAAGATTCTAAATGACAAAAATTTATGGCCGGTCTCTGACACAAGACATCGATATCAGTCGAATCAATCCTTATATATTTAGAATTCACACATACACTGTCATGAAAATTAAAGATGCCAAATACCAAACTTTTACACCTAGTCCATGAAACAAAACGTCGACGCCCGTTGTCGAATTTGAGGATTTTCAGTGAGCACGTGTTTTAAGAGCTAAATTGGAGTCTTTGCATACGTAGAGTCTTTGTACACATACTACGCCTGAATAGAACATCGGCGAAGCCTTCCATTCTACGAAGAACCAGTCTCCAACAGCTGACATCCACAAACACTTCAGCAACGAGACCAGCAATAATGGAATGACTAGCAGCTTTAACGCTGCCATCATCCCGCCAACTAAGGCGACCGCTCCCCGTCCTTAACGACTGCTAACACCCACACCATCGTTGCCGCAGATTAACTCACACTTCGCCCCAACCCCCACCTTCACATCCAAACTCTCACTACCACCAATCCCACCAACTCGTAAACATGCCACAGACAAAGACTAATAGAGGGAGAAGAAAGTAAAACGCATATTCTAAATCCTGGTCCGCGCATCCTACGGCTTACACTCCAGCACAGCCATAGAGGTGTAGAAAGCGGCGACGGCGACGAGTGTGAGGATGGATTGTCGAGCCATACCTGCAGGGAGGACTGGGGTTAGCGAAATTGAAAATGAAGGGAAGGAAGCAGAAGAAACTAAGATTGGGTGAGGAGGGAGGAAAAGAGGCGTGTGAGCAAAGCAATGATTTTAAGAAGAAATAGAAAGAAAGGAAAGGGAAGGAAGGAAGTCCTGAGATGGAAGACGAGAATGAGGATGGAAAGGAGAGTAGGGTGAAGGAAGATCGAGATGGAGTAGGTGGGTTTGTTGAGGAACGCATACCGATAGGTCATAGCGAGGCCGAGCGTCGCACCTGTGAAAGGGGTGTTAATGACGATGCGCTAGAGCGAAGGAATCCTGCCCAACTTACCATCATAGAACGTCAACCTCACTGTGCGCACAAAATGTGCGAAATCGCGTTAGCATCCATTCAAGCGTCGCGATTCACCAGCAAAGGAGGGTAATCGTTGTGTTCCACAATCCCCCATCCTTCCGCACGTCTTTCTTCCTCTCCCTACGAACCAAAGCGAAAATTTACATCGTGTCCTTCCTTGTCTTCTCCACCGCCTGCTATGCGATAACATCTTCGAATAGAAAAGCTGCGCTTAGGCGTTGTGTCGCCAGGGGATAGGGCAGGATGAAGGCGCTATAGTTGCACAATGAAACATGGTGGGGTATAGATGTGGTGGATGGAAGGAGCAAGGAGGACGCACTTGTAGGCCATTAAGAGTGTAGCCATACTCTACCTTTCGTGGTATCGTCCTCGAGAATGAATGACGTGTCTTCTTCTGTCTGTATCGTGGCCGGTCTCAGCGAACAATGAGATGAGTGAAGGTCGCAAAAGCCCGCGTCGGAGATACCTATTCCGGCCGCAAGGGATCAGTCCAGTCGGAGGCAGCCTTTCGGGCCGGTCTTGTCTAGGAAACTCATCATCTTTCTGTCTCGACATTAGCGGAGGTGCCACCCGTCAAATGTAGCCAGTCGCGTGCGGGAGTCCTTGTTGATCGTCCAACTATATATATATAACAGTTTCTTCTAACCCCCTTTTCACTATATATGGTGATATAGCTCTCCTGGAGAGTATAGAACGCGAACTTTGAAGTAGTAGCAGATTCGATCATATCCTTCTCTACCCGTTGCAATCTGAAATACGAACTAGTGATAAGGTTTTTAATTGGAAGGTTTCTGTTAAAATATGCAATGGTGTCATTTATCCTCGGTGACATTGTGAGGAAAACAGATGTGCACAGACAGTGTGAAAATTCTTCAACTAAATACTTGCAAATGAATCATGATATACGTAAAGGATCTGCTTTACTAATGAAGCGTATAGTAGCTCTAAACAATGGAATAGATATACGCCACCGTGGATTCTGATCTAACATCCGTATTCCAACAACTCCTCAAAAGACAAAATACATAAAAAGTCACTACCGGGAAGTCTTCGATATTAACCGGGAAAGCCCCATCCAGAACATAACGGTATACAATTTACGCTCTCGACGTCTGTATGCTTAAAAAGTTCGTCGAAGCTGCCAAATTTCCGGTTTGGCAGGAAGCAATATTCGCAATGCGCGGACAGCTTTGCTTACCTAAGCCCAAACGGAGCATCGGTGTCGGTGCCCCGCCCTATTGAAATTGTATATAAGAAACTTGAAAAAGCTTAGTAAAAACTATCATCTCATTCCAACTACTCTCAAACTTCCAACATCACAATGCTCTCATTCAAATACATTCTTGGGGCCTTCTCCCTTTGTGCTGTTGCCTCTGCTGCACCCGCGGCGTTGGAGCCAAGAGTTCCCGACCTGGACACCATTACCCTCTGTGCAGACAGTGCTTCTCCTAACAGTGGCGGATGCGTTACTGTCC